CTATCCATTGGGCCAACCAAACCCTCACACCTACAGAGATAATATTTTGAACAAGCCTTTTATGTGGCACCTTGTCAAATGCTTTCTGTAAATTCAGATGCATCAAATGCACACCCATACCACACCTACATAAACAATAAACTCTTCAAAGAACGACAAAAGTTTAGTAAGGCAAAATTTTCCCTTAGAAAAACCATGCTGACTATCCAACAAAATTTTAAACTTTTGTTAAATGACTTCAGAATGCATCTTTAATCAGACTTTCAAAACCTTTACTTGTCACTGATGTAAGATTCATAGGCTTACAATTACTGGGACAATTTATATCATCTCTCTTGAAAAGGGGAGTAACATTAGACAATTTTCAATCTTATGATGCCTGTCCACTATTCAAGGACTTACAAAAAATAGTAGCAAGTGGCTCACATATCCAATTCTTAACCTCCTTCAAAACATTTGGGGAAATATTATCTGACCCAGGAGTTTTATCATTTTTTAAACTTCCCAATTTTTCCTTAACAAGCTCAAAATTAATGTGATAATCTTGTTTCCAACTAGCAGCTGTTCAGGATGAGGATTATTGCTTAAATCTTCTTTAGTAAAAATTGAAGAAAAAGTAGAATTTAATAACCTAGTCATCTCTCATCATCATCAAATTTGTGCCTTCCTGTAACATCCCTCAAAGGGCTTACTTCCACCCTAATTTTCTGCTTACCATTAATATATTTAAAGAAATCCTTATTATTAATTTTTGAATTTTCATAGCATTTTTGATTTCATAATTTCTCATTTTACCAACTCTCTTGATCTTCTATAATTCTCTAAGTATCTGATCATAGCAATCAATTTAAACTTCTTAAATTTATAATGCTTTCCTTTAATTTTATCCTTTGTGAGCCAGTCTGGTTTTTTACTTGCAGCCATCTTTTTTTTTACTACAAGGAACATGCCTATCTTGAATATTTATAAATTTATTTTTAAAAATTTTCCACATTTGTTTAGTACCTACAATTAATTCAGTTGCCAATTCATAACAGATAATTCTTGTCTTATACCTTCAAAATTTGATTCTTTGAAATTTGGAACCATAATTGCATTATTCCTCATCTCCCTATGTTGCAAAACTTTTCGAACCTAATTACGCAATGATCACTTTTACTCAGATGTGCCCTAGCCTCCACTCTATCAACCATATCTATATATCAAAAGATACCTATAAATCTAAAATAGCACTGCTCCTGGTAGGTTCCCTGACCAACTGATGAAGAAGACTATTCTGAACAGTTTCTAAAAACCTGTTTCCCTCATGATTTGACTTTAATGTTTCCTAATCTGTATGAATGAAATTAAAATCCCACATAATTATGATCTCATTAAAAACTGAATTCTTTATCCCACTGTAGACTTTCTCATGAATTTCATCTGGTGGTCTGCAACAAATTACAACTAAAAGCCTTCTCCCTTTATAACCACTAACAAAAATCCAAAAAGATTTAACCTCATCACTATTAGCTTTGATATCCTCAACTTGAATATGCTATAACTTACATTTTACATATAAAACCACTCCTCCCCCTCTTTTTAGTACTCTATTTCTATTAAATAACTTATAACCATGTATTTTAAAGTTACACATTTATGTAATATTTTTCACAATGCTATAATGAGTGTTAATTTACCCTAAATTTCTTTTTGACAGGTACATGTATATGGATGTGAAAAGCTATATGGCATTTAGTTTTGGATTTTATTCTTTCTTGAATGGTTTTGTTGAGTAGAAGCTAAGAGGCAAGGCTTTAAAAGTTTTTATCTTATTCTTTCTCGGTCACACACAGTGTGAAAGTAATTTTTTTCCAGTGCAGTAGTGGTGTTTGCCCTCCCCCCTCACTTTATACAGAACAACACTGCTAATTTATGTGGACCAAAGCTTCAACATTTGAATATACACATTAACACTAACTTTAGCAACTACACTTAATAGGGGGAAGAAAGGAGTCTAGTACAGTCTGATTTGAAAATATTTTTGGTTGGACTTCCTGAAGGTTGCAGGTCAACCCCAAGGTGGATACCATGGCAAACACAAACTCTGTCATCCTAAGTTGCATTAATGTGTCCCACTTCACTAAATCACACAATTCTTTTTACAACAACTTAGCATGACACTGAATAATATTGGTCAAAACTAATAAATAGTAACTTAAAATGACCATGACACAATGATTTGCCAGTATGCCCTAATGACTTACTTTCAACACTGTGTAGAGGAGATTTGATTCAGGTGTTTAAAATTGTTAGTTACTTGAACAATTTATTCATGGGTAGCCTGTTTCAAGGGTAGAATGAAAATGTATACTCGAATATTAGGCAAAAGAAGTTTAAACTTTGGAACCCAAAATGTAGGATGTCTTCTTTCAAAAAATTACTTCTCATGGTTATAAATTTATGGAAGGTTCTTCCTAATATGTGGTTTGTTTTGTTATGAAACTTTTCTTATATAGATAAAGATATGAAGGATTACATTTGTTTAGTTTGGTTTTTATGGACTGGTTGGTAAAAAGGCAAAAAAGAATGGTCAATTTCTATTCAACTTTTGTGTATACTTGTAGTTTTATGTTTTTCCAGATAAAACTAACTCAAATACTATAACTCCAGAGATTTGGTAGATAAGTCAGATAGTAAAAAACACACTAGGTGGTTCATTGACAAAAGTTATGTTGACCAAATAATGGATGTTAATAATACATAAAACACTTTTAGCTTCAAAGGTAATTGTGCAACTTTAAAATTATGCCATCTATCATTCTTATCTAATTTTAAGTAAGTAAACATTACCAAAGTTTCACATTATAAAAACAATGCTTCACTACATGTATTTTGGTCTTCGATGAATTGTGTTAAAGATAATATAGTCATATCATACACAACATTGTACATAAACATTTAACTACAATTATAGTACTGTGTAAGCTCCTGAACTATGAACCCTTATACATTTAATACTAAAAGTTCATTCATAATATGTATGAGAGTATAAGAACTAAAATGTTCCAATTTTCCTCAGCAAGTCTTTTCAAGTTCTTTTATAGGTAATTTAAAAAAATGTATTTATTTTTCAAAAACTGATTCAACATGTATTTTATATTTATCAACTTAATGAGAATTGTAGATTTGCTTCATGTGGATATTTAATGTACACTGTGAATAAACCTTACAATATCTGGAACTGAAATTATGATTTTCTGAGCAACTTGGAGTTTATTTGGTTATAAGTTCATAACAAAAAACAAATTAAATTATTACTCTATGAGTGTATATATGTAGATAATGTTGCATATCCAGCAGTGGTTGAACTATTAAAATCCTATATATGTGTGTGTGTATTCGACATTCAGGCCACAAGAATCTACATTATTGCAGTTTCAAGTAGCTATAGATACACCTCCTTTTTAGTTATACACAGGTACAATTAATATACAACACACAGTACTTTAAAGTGTTTTGATTATTCACGTTAAAAGTTAATGATAATGTTACATGAAGACCATTTGTTTCCTTTTATTTTTGTTCTTTAACTGTAGTTTCCCAAAGTTTTTGCACACAGAAGACGATTGTCTGTTTTTGAACTAATGGCAAAAATATTAATAACTGTCCAACAATAATTCATGGACAGGTAGAGCTAGATAATTAACTCCATTAATTATCTACAAGCATCAATTACATCAGTGTAACATAAATTAATCAATTATTCAAAATTAGTGTTTCCAATTGTTTTTGATTATTCCAACTATTTACATAATCAAAACATTGCAATTATGATTGCTTATTATTATTTTTGATTAATTCTAGGTTGTGCAGTTTAATTGATTAGTGTCACAACTCACAAAAATAATCAACTAAACAAAATTATTGTTTCCAATTATTCCAGCTATCCAAGTCTCATATGAGAGTGATAGATTAGTCAAATGTAATCAAGTAATGTGACCAATGATTAATCAATTATCAAATTACACTAATTGCCCAACTGTAATAGGTATACTAAAACATTTCATGTGCATGCATATAAGAAAGATCCCAAGGACATTAAACCCAAGGATACCCTTTCATTCACCAAAGTATCCAAACCAAAACCAAGTGCTGCCTTTTGAACTTGAGACCAACAATTCTATTTGAATACAACACACTGTACAAACTCTCAACAATCAGTGTGATCAAAGTCCACAATATGCAAATGTAAACAAAGTTCAATATGTCAAACAAGGGATTCCCCATACATTGTACATGTACATAATATCTTTACATAACTTTTCTGTACTTCTGATATAAATGAACATATATATATCTTATTGAAATATAAAGCTGAATTCATAATACAAAAAAGAAAGACTCATAGAAGTTGCAACTGAGCACGTGCTAAACCATTGTCCATTTGTTTTGAGTTTAAAATTCAGTATACATATTGTCTTATTTTATATTAAGTCTCAAAATCTACTTCCTTATAAAATAATTATGAAAAATTTAAATATTCAAAGTAGCAAGTTCCACTAAATTTTGGTATACATGTACAGAGTTTCTTAGTAGTGATTAATATAGTACAACTAAATGTGTTACTCAATCTTATACAGTAATAAATTGTATTCTAACAAATAACATTATAATAAAAAATCAAGAACTTTTATTTCAAAAAGTATGAAATTATAAAATATTTTTTTACACTAATAAAATTATCAGAAACTGCTTCTGCACCTCATAATATTGATTATGTTTATAACATATACAACTTACTCTACTTGATCTACAAATAAAATCTAAATTACAATTTAAAACCTTTGTTGTAAGACTTCAATTTTAGTACTAATTATTTTCGAATAAATATTAATAATATTAGTGAAGCTTGCATAACTTTACCAGTACTTAAAGATATGCAAACTGGCTTTTAATATGTTAGTCCAATCCATTTAAAAAATTTATGAATAGTCTCAGAGAAACGTATGGGAACTTACCCCTATAGAAATACATTCTTCTGTATTTTGATGAAATTTCACAACAAATTTACTGCCAGCTCTTTCTTCGGCTACATTTAGCGGTCGAAATCGACACACCACTTGAATGCTGCACTCTGAGGAATTATCAGTCATTTTATTTTCTCAGTATCTCTTAAGTTGTTAAATATAAATATTAAGAACTAATGCTGATTTCAAAAGTATTTTTAACGGCAGTACTTAAAGAGTGAGATTCACATATACACAGTCTAATTTCTAAGTAAATGTTTGCAAGACTACAACAGCATATATATATATATATTACACTACTCTTTGATGTTAGCTTAGTCTCACGTTGATCAGCTGACCTAACATAAGATAGGTGTTACAGGTACACGTTACTTTCGTAAACTTGCAGTTATGATTCACTTCCATAGTTAAGTTTGGCACAAGACTAGCAGTAGTAGTACTAGTAGCAGAGGAAAGGCCACAATAAGTAAATAAGTCCCAGTGTCAATAAAAGATTAAAACCACTGCTGAGTAGGAAAGTGGTGCTATTATTACTAATAGTAATACTAATAGCGATTCGATGATTTCGAACAACCTGCAACAGTGCAAGTATCTTATCCGACTGATTATAGTTTTCTTTCAAAGAAAATTCAAAACTATTTCACTTAACTTCTTCTTCTAATCTAAAGTCAAAACGAAAATAACTATGTGTGTTACCGAAATAAATGAAAATGCTGCTGATACCCTATACAGCTAGCAGCAAACTTAACTCACATGTTAAAAGCTTTTGAAAACCGGCCATTTTAATAAAACGGAACTTTGGTCTGTTACGTCACTACTGAAACAGCTGTTGCTATTTTCTTATGTGCTGCCATCTAATATTTTAAACTATAACTCCGTCTTTGCTCAGAAATGTTAACGTCATGTCCTTCGGAGTGACAGCGATAAGTTTACAAACTTATAACGCTAAAATCCGTGTTTAGATTCCCCGCGGTGGACCAGCAGATAGCACAATGTGGCTTTGCTGTAAAAAAACAAACAAAAACAAAGTTAACATCACTAGCTTGCGGAAGTATAATTTTGTTTTTAATTTCACAGCCTGTATTTCTGGAAAAATTCTCCAACTTCTAAAAAATCGTTTAAATTAATTTACTAAATTATATATGTTAATAACAAATCAATAAATAATGGATTCTTAATTCATGAAACTACATAATATTTTAGATTTACATGGGGGATCAAGTCTACGGACGAAGTCGAAGACAAAAAGACAACTAGTTGAAGGGAAATCGGAATAAAAATATTAGCTTAAAAGTTATAATTTTAAATGTAAAATTGTTAAGACATAGTTTTAAAATATTCTATGTTATTATAATAACATTTACGTTTTAATCTATAAAAAAGATTTTCAATGTATTTCAACCTTTGCTTTTATATTTCATTTACAACTTTTTAAAAATACGCTCGTGGTTACCTATAAAATGCTAAAGCACATTTGTTTTCAAATAGTTTTTACAAACACTGTCCATTTATAAAAATAATATTTTTTTACAACATTTTATCACAATTGATTTTATAGGTTGTGGGTGTAGTATTTTCCAGCTTGCGGATTTACCTCAGAGGTTCAAGGTAATCGGATCTGGATTATGTTCTGTGTTTCTTGCCGAACTCTGATCGAGTTCGTCGCACAGTAAGAGACGTTACACCAAAGCACGCTTGAAATATAATCTATACTATACACTAAAACAAAACGTGATACAATGCAAAACAAAAGGGCAAGTATGTCTAGTGGATACGTTGAATTGGCAAGAGACATGTGAAGAAATCTTTAACTGTAAGTGAAAATTTTAAAAAGGAAATAAAACAACCCCAACAAGCAGAACCGGATTAATAACTTGGGTGGTCTGAGTCAAGTTTCGTAGGGAGACGTGGAGTGGAGGGGTGGGGGTTCAGTACTGCACTCCATAAACAGGTCAAATACAGTTCAAAACTGTTTATTAACTACAGTTTGAGCAACACACAACGACAAGAGATAGGTTAATAATATACAAAATACTAATATTTATAATAAATATAAAGTTAACATAAATTGTTTATAATAAAGATAAATTAATAACAATTAATTATTTTGTTAAATGGCTGAGCAACTATTTATGAAATAAGCTGCAAGAACATTTCAATAAGAAATTATAAACTATTGGTATATATGAAACAAATAAATCATTGTTGTCATAATGGTACAGTTGCAAACATGTTTTTAAATTATACATTTTATTTTTCTCTTAGTCGGGGAGGGGGTCGTTTCAGATGGTCTGAAAGAATTGCACCCATTTACCCCATTTAATCTGGTCTTGTCAACAAGGTAAATTAAAATAAAGTAAATCTAATTATAAAATTTAAATACAAATCCTAACTCTCTGAAAACTTAAGTTAAAATGATAGTCACTAAATCCTAAGGAGTTCTTAAATCACAAGAAATGTTTTAATTATACTTACTCATAGCAAACCTAGTCTTATATATATAACCATACACTAACATTATTCAAAGCCAGCTTTGCACGTGACAGGATCGTCCACAACATTCATAGTGCAAAGGACGTGACAGCTTTTAGCTATTACTTGATTTGCCGAAAAGGAAAACAACCTCTATGTTACAACGTTAGGAGTTATCTTTCCTGCAAGAATACATGAATAACTACCAATTAGTGAATTCACATACCAAGTGCACTGAAGAAAGAAAAAGTTTAGTGCCTCACTCAGTCGCGTGCAGAGGGGGGTGGGCGAAAGGTGCCGAGGCCCCGGTCATCCATATTGGGAGGGCATCCAACGCAAAGAGTCGAATCGAATAGTAGAACCCTTTCCGCCCTTCCCCAAGGTCTTAGGTACAAGGCCCCGGGCATCATAGAACCTCTTCACGCCACTGGCTTCACTGCATTCAACTGAAAACTCAGAAAAACACAATAATTTTGAAAAAATACACATTAACTAAGGGGGGTGATGCACAGTATAGTCCTGTACTACCCAGATAGATATTAGACTCGCAGAACACAAAAAGGGTGCTAAAAATGGTCCAACAAATAATGCTATGTTTATACAAATAAGAGAATATTATCATGAAATGAGCAGAGAATCAGCCAAGCTAATACAGAAAACGACAAATTATACAAAAGGAGAATTCTGAAAAGTTCGTTAATCAATTGTTGCCAAACTTCAACACATCTGAAGATCATTTTAACTTGAACGCTATTTTGACGTCATATGTCATTCAAGGAATTGGAACTCCCATTATAAAATAAGCAGTGTATGCATTCCTTCTACAAACAAGCGTTGGACAGAAAAGGATATGTGTAATGTCAAAACTAGTTTCCATTTAAATTTAGTATTGTTCCGTTAGTGTGGATTTAACCTTTATTGTAAATTACTTTACAAGGTATTTTGTATTTACCTATTTCTTATAAAGCAATATTATACTTAAAAGAAAATGTACAGATAAATAAAATGGGCTTCATGTTCTTGGTGTTACTACTGTTAAAGGCAAATTTCTTATAAATGCATTCCATTTTGTTTTAAATTTCGCGCAAAGCTACACGAGGGCTATCTGCGCTAGCTATCCCTAATTTAGCAGTGATAGACTAGATAGAAGGCAGCTAGTTAACACCAACCACCACCAACTCTTTCAACAGCGAACAGTGGGATTGATCTTTGCCTTAGAATGCCCTCATGGATGAAATGGCGAGCATGTTCAGCGACGAGGATTTGAACCTGCGATCCGAGTTCTCTAGCCATCAGTTACAATAGATCTTAGTAATTTATAAAATTATATGTTATGGAAACTCAAATATGAACAATAACCGTAATTTGAAGTATTGTTCTATGCCATCCATAAGAGTATTAAATTATTAATCTTTATCTTATATATTCTACATTTTCAGTGGTGTGGTTAACTCCAAGAAAATTTGAGAAATAATTTATCAGCCCCTAGTGGTACAGAGGTATGTCTGCGGACTTACAATGCTAGAAACCGGGTTTCGATATTCGTGGTGGGCAGAGCACACATAGCCCATTGTCTTTATGCTTAACTTCAGACAGTTTAACATGTGGCGACATCTAGTGTTAAGTGATGTGTTTAAGTTAAGATAATAGATAGCGACGAACATTTCTATTTTTAATTAATGTTCTAAATACTGAAAACAATCAAAATTATATCATACTATTGTTTCTGAGCTAGTTTTATGCAAGTTCACTCATAAACAGTTTCTTATTCAGATTTAAGAGTAAGCAATGATTGTATAAAGAAAGTATATTCTAACTCATGATGCAAAAAGCCTTATGTTAACACTCGGGTATTTTTATTGTGTAGATTCACCAAGATTATTTCTTGAAAAACTTAAAGTTTGGTATTCGGTGACGAGGAACCCACTTTGAGACTAATAATGGCTGGAGACGGCTTGATGGGTAATGAAGAAAAACTTTAATATAAGTTTAACATAACAGCAAATGTGCAACGTTTCGACAAAGTTTTGTACCTGATGATGACAAAAC